CCTCAGAAGGAAGACGGGGCAAACTACTTCCATAGTGATACTGGCTCAGAAACCCAAGGAGGGGTCACTATGAGTCATGTCTGACTCGATGGCATATAACAACAACAACAATTACTTCAACACAAAGTGTAGAATTAAACATATTGTGTTGGGAAAAATAATTTGAGAATTAAGTGGCTAACATGAGTAAAGATATAAACTATGGAATATCATAAGAAATATAAAGCAGGAAAGGGACACTTTATGTGTACTTATTTATTTAGAGTTTATTATTTCTGTGTTTCATATGTAGGAGCTCTGGTGATTTTGTGGTTAAAGCATTAAGCTGCTAACCAAATGGTTGGCAGTACAAACCCATCAGCAGGTCTGCAGGAAAAAGATGAGGCAGTCTGCTTTCATAAAGATTACAGCCTTGGAAACCCTATGGGATAGTTCTACTCTGCTCTAGAGGGTTGCTATGAGTTGGAATCACCTTGATGGAAGTGGGTATGTTTCATATAATTTTGTGCATAAATTAGGCAGTTGGAGTCTTCTTCCATTCAAGTAAGTGTAGAAGTGCAGAAAACATAATGAAATTCTAAAATCCATTGTTTATTTGTACCTATAATATTATAAAAGAAGAAAAATAAACTGAACTTGGACTTTCAGTAGGAAATACAAATAGGAAACACTTTAATTAAAATTAAAGTAAATTCATGAAGACACTGAATTTGTATCTCACACAAGATGGTGCTACAGTTCTTTCTATAAACCATATGATATCTAGTTCTTTTATTTCTTCTAGAGTAAATAATCCTAATAATGGTTAATATAATTACATTAGATATGTAGTTGTGTTGTTGTTATGTGCCATCGAGTCAGACCTGACTCATAGTGACCCCTTCTTGGGTTTCCAAAGCAGTATCACTATGGAAGTAAGTAGATTGCCCAACCTTCTTTCCAAGGAATGGCTGGTGGATTTGAATAGCCAGCCTTCTGGTTAACAGTCAAGTGCCTTAGCCACTA